TTTTAGTGCCACGAATGTCTACCTTGTTTATTCTGGACCCTATTTTGAAATTGGCATCTTTTTTATTTTGCGTGAAATTGGCCAAATTGCCAATTTCTGACCACCATATTGGGTAGTCCAAATTAGTAAATGGGAGGTTTCTTGTACTCAGCTGATAGATAAAATGCAGTTCTAATGAAATAGCTATGAGTTTGGTCAACTGGAACAATGGAATTGGCTGAAAATTGGGCTCAAAGTCGGCGAAATCGCCGATACGCATATGTCGCCGAGACCGCTAACTTCGCGGGAGCATAATTCCACGAGTTTTCGACCAAATTTCGAACTTTTGGTGTCATTACCATCGGGAAAAGATTCTCTATCATTTCATAAGAAAAAATAATTTTTTTTTTTTTCAAAAATTGAGCGACATAGAATGACAGTTTCAGAGAGGGGGCTGAAACAGTCAAAGGGTTAATCCGAAACCAAATTACAACCCTGATGATTTCATAGCAACTCGTACCAGCTTAGCTCAAAGTGTTTTTAGAAGAATCCGTGAAACACCATAAAATCAACAGCAGAATTTACAAGAGTCGCTAACACACTAGCAAAGCTGTCCAAAATCGAAGTAGGTTTGAGAGTTATGCTAACTAAAAACATCTGCAATGCCAAAGCTTGATCAAAAGTTTGTTGGTCCTTATCAAGTAGTTGAACATATCAATGGTAATAAGTATAAGGTTAGAGAAATTAGTACTGGTCAGTATAAAGAATCGCATTTAAATCATATGAAGTTAGTATGTGATGATAGTGATGTTCCAACCCAGACTAATTTGACAGACTGACAATCCTCCTGATCCTGTACTCTCTACCTCTGATAGTCAGACGATCAACCTGAATGTCGTTATTCCCTACGTACACGACAGGTATTGAGAAATCCTCAAGTATCATTTGTAACTACCAATTCAGATTTGCCTCAAATACAGCATTAGTTAGCCAGTGCAACAGAGTTTGATCCTCCCAGAGATGACACCCATTCTGCATGTAAACCTCACCCTAGCAGAGTTGGGGTTAAATGTAAATAACCTGTATAGATGAATAATTACAGTATCAACTTATCAGTATTCAAGAAATTTTTTTTAGTGTTCACGTTCTCTCCGAATTCTGAGAGTTAACAGTCTAGATTTGAGTGCACCGAATCTGCCTTTCTGTTAAACACTTTTCTTTGTATATATTTCTTCCTCAGAATCAGTAGATCACATGAATACAGATCAATCGATCGATCAAAAAAAAATTTTCACTTCTATTGTGTAATCCCAACATTGAGTTTCATTCGATGAGTTGTGCTATATTATACCTTGTATTGCATTACAGTTTCAGTTACATAAGCTTCCATTCCAATATTCTACTTATGTATGTTATAATGTTCAATTGTTGTGTACTTTGACATTGTATAGAATCAGCCCAAGCTGTACACCTGCCATCTAGTTTGTATTAGTTGTATGTCGGGACGACATACGTTAGCATCGCAGAGCTCTCAGTAGTAGTACCAGCTCCTAGTAACCAGTTACCAGCAACCAGTGTACCAGTAGATGACTCGCTACCAACCGTCTGTGTGAATCACAGACTTATTCATGTTGCTGCTGACCATAGCATGATTTCAAACACCGCTCACCTTGTAGGCACTGGTGGGTCAGTCTAAGAGGGAGCAGAGAGGCAGGTCGGCTGATGGTGCTTCCCATTCTTCCCGTTATATATTATACGTACTACCAGCCTACGCGAGTTTTTTACACCATCCAAGTTATCGAACCCACATGACAAACTTTTCAAGCTAGGAACCAGTTCATACACTAACTTCTGATCTGATTAGAAGTTAACTGTAAACCTCACCGTTTCACTTATGTCCATGTAGATTTTGCAAGTTTTGGAGTGTTGAAAAGTAAAAATCTATGATTTTTACTTTTTAGGGGGCATACAGAGAGGATGTCCTAACAAATTAAATATTACAATTTACACCTTTTGTGCATTAAGGGGAAGTTCTAAACTTGGGGAAGAGGGGGGGGGGGTCTTGCATACAAGTTGTGCACCCTATACCCACCCTATGGGGGGGGGACCAGTTCAAATAAAAAGGCACAATGGACTCAGTGGTGACATTATCCTACTGTTATTGAATGTTCAGCTTTCAACTATTCCAAGTAATAAAATTTGTTCTACAGTCTGGGCATCAGGCTTTTTACTCCAGGCTTTTCATATTGGTAGTAGTTTATAGACAAACTTAGGGCTTCATTTTCCTACCTTTATTATAAGGTCACAAGCAACCCCAATTTCCAAATTTACCCATTTTTAAATGGCAGTTACCCAGAGTGCTACAGCACTGAGGTATCAATAACCCAAGTCTGCAAGGACAAAAACCACTTGCCCAGAATAGTCCACCAGGTGTTATGCCATTTAGGCAGAAGATATACTGCAGAAAGCCTGCACCCACAAAATGCCAAAACATTTATTTCAGTAGATGCAACCACCTGGAAAACTGTAGTGTCCAACACGCGAGACTGAGGCCCATGTGGTTATTGCAATACCAGACTAGTGCAAAGTCAGCCTTATGTTTGTAAAGGCATAGTAAATAAGAATTACAGGTGTAAGAATGCTGAAGAGATTTAATTTATGGCAATGCTTTAGTTAAAAGTTTTTAACTAGGATAAGAAGACTATAAAAAAATTCTGCTTTAACATTTGTACCAAGTTACACTTTAGCAAGTTTATGAATTAGGCAAATACGTCCAACATGTTACATACATACTTGGCTATTTTTTGCTCAATGTTTCATTGATGGGATAAATCACTAACCTTTCAGAGTTAATACAGTACCTGGGGAATGGCAGGTAATCAGTTTGATACAAGGATTATTATTAAATTGCTTCAAATCTGAAGCTCCTCACTTGCAAGAGGGAACCTCAGTTAGCCCTTTGGGGGTTTCGACCGTACTAGTACGGCTTATGACCCAGGGTTTGACGTACTAGTATGCCTAAATTCTAGCGCCCTCAAATCTAGTGGGAGAAAGCTGGTAGGCCTACATATGAAAGTATGTACGTGGTCAGAGTGCACAGTAAAAAAAAATCCTGCAGTACAGTGCATGAGAAAAAAAAAAAAAAAAAAGACTTTTTTGGAATAAAACAGACTTTGCACTGTATTTTCGTATGGTATTTATTGTTGTATTCTAGTTTTCTTGGTCTCATTTTATAGAATGGAAGACATTACAGAAATTGAGATGATTTTGACTGGTTTTACAATGAAAAGTACCTTGAAATTGAGCTCAAAGTAGCAGAAATGTTCGATTTTTACCCAAGTTCAAAAGTAAACAAATAATGCCAAGCGTCCAATACACGTCAACTGGCGAGTCTAATATTCTTTCGCGAGTGCGCCAATATTATTTATGCCATTTTTCACACTAATGCAGTAGTCTGCATAACAGTAAATCTTATTTTTTTTTGAGTAAAAATTCAAAGTGGAAAGCAAAAGAATGTAAGAGGGGCCTCGAGACGTGACTAATAAACAGAGGAAATGTCATTTTAATAACAGGAATGGCTGTTTATTCTGGACCCTATTCGGAAATTGGCATCTTTTGAAATTTGTGTGGAATTGGCAAAATTGCTAAATTCTAACCACTGTACTGGATAGTTGAAATTGGTAAATGGGTGGTTTCTTGCACTCATTCGATAGAAAAAATGAAGTTCTAGCGAAATATTCATGTTTTTTGTCGACTAGTACAGTGGAATTGGCCGAAAATGGGGCTCAAACTGGGCAAAATCGCCGATGCGTAAGCATCGCCGAGACCGCTAACTTCCCGAGAGCATAATTCCGTAAGTTTTCCATCAAATTTCATACTTTTGGTGTCATTATGATCGGGAAGATTCTCTTTTCATAAGAAATTTTTTTTTTTAAATTTGGCCGACCCTGAGAACGAGTCTCTGAGACGGCCTGTCGACCCTCAAAGGGTTAAAAGCATAAGATTATGCTCAAGTGTCTGATGAACAGAATCATGCAATGAAATAACCACAAGGGATAACCATTTTTATTTAATATGCTGGACTTGTTCATGCTTCCCCCACCCCTCTCCCAGGAGTGAACTACCCCTATAGTGAGAACCAGTGAACCTAGAGCTCTAGCAGATGTGGAGTCTGCAGTTCGAGGTTCACCCAGTAATAACCTGTTGCAAGCACTTGAAACTGACGACGTTCTAGATCTAAAACCTGTACAAGCATACATCGAGTATATACATCAGTTACGAAATTCATGTTCGGGTTAAATGGCGTTATAGTGTGTAGAGGTAGTAGGGCGTGGCAGGTGGTGCACTGGAGGCAGGTGGTGCTGGTGCTGGTATTGATTAATCAAGATCACTGCCGCAGCCGCAACACGTTGCTGCTGCTAGGAGGCCCCCCCCCCTCCCCGGGGGGAGTATGCCAGCGAGGGGATTTTAATCAAAAACTAAATCCTTTTATGCCTGCCATTTATACCTTCTGGTTACCAGGAGTCAACTTTCTCCCCCCCCCCATACAGATTTAGAGCTTCCAGATTTAAATTCACGGGTGTTCTGCTGCGCCATGAAACTTACCCCTTAAACCTCTTATCACCACACGAAACAAGTTCCATTAATGTTTAATACAGTTCTACGACCTTTAACACGAGGTGGAGAGTGAGCAAGACAAGTGTGACACAGGAAGTAACACATCACCGCAAACAAAACAAAAAACGTGGAAATTAACCACCATTACCTCAAAAAGTCTAGCAACAAGTTATTAATCATCACAATGTATTTATACACCTTTCAGAAGTGTTAAGTGCTATTAAGAACAGCGCCATAAGAGAGTAGAGAAGGTAGAGTTGTGAAACAAAGAGTCTGGTTAAGCCCGCGCGCGCCACCACCTACTTCCTATAACCAAGAAACTCATTCATTTTAAAAAGTACGCCACTTAAAGCTATCTCAGTGGTTAGCATAAACTTTGAAAACCTCGCCTTAGTGGAATTTACCTTGGTCCCGATCTGGTTGCCGCACTGGCCGGTCTGGATGTGAACAATTTCCCTCATGGTAGTGTGAGAAGTGGTGGTAGGTGGTGTGTGCGCTGCTGCCTCGCCCGGCTGACTGATGCTTCACCACCACCAGGGCTGCCACCTTGCTGCCTTCACCACCACCAGGGCTGCCACCTTCACCCCGCTACCAACCGCTAACTCAACTTAAACTCTTATCACATAATTAATCGACATTTAATTAGACTCCTTTTTAGTAATACACAGAAATAAATATATAGAAATCGATATAATTTTAAGAAAAATAATATTTACATGTGTGAGCTTATCATATTAAGTTAAATATACAAAACAGTATAGATTCTTCTTTAACAAATTGGCGGGAATGACAAACAAAAAACCGCCAAATATTGTTCTTTATTTTAAAAATAATGTATACACGCTGTGCTAACTAAATAATTTAATAATGTAACGTTCAGGATAAATAAATCAAAACAGGTGTTTATAATTATTCACTTGATAAATAAACTACATTTACCGATATATGAATAGCGGAGAATCAAATTTAAACATTATTTATAGATCTGTAAACTATAATAGACCTGTAAATTATTCATGTCACGCTTTAAAATACTAAATATAACGTTTTCCCACTTGTTATAAAGAAAAGGTACAACATCGATCCCAAAAAATATATTTTTAGAAGTATATTAGCCAGGCTGGCGGCGTTATTAAGTCAATATAAACTTACAATAAAGTAGGACAGGCATATATAAGTGTCACTTTATTTTAGCATGCGCTGAGGCGTACCAGGGCAGCTGTACCTGAACCCTGCATCGATTTTATACATAATTTATATATGCTAGGCGTGTTCGTCCCGAGGTTCAGCGGCTCACAGGTTCCAATTATATCCGGTATGGCAGGTAACATTCATCATCACATTATTGTACCCCCAGTTCTACCTAACTTGCTCTATATATATAAACCATTGTACATTTCTTTCAGATAATGAGGCTTAAATAAACATTGATCCTCCAGGGGGTTATTTAATGTTTATACAATATATATGTATATATCTGGCTCTCAAGTGAATGTATATACCTGGCTCTCAAGTGAATGTATATATCTGGCTCTCAAGTGAATGTATATACCTGGCTCTCAAGTGAATGTATATACCTGGCTCTCAAGTGAATGTATATATCTGGCTCTCAAGTGAATGTATATACCTGGCTCTCAAGTGAATGTATATATCTGGCTCTCAAGTGAATGTATATATCTGGCTCACAAGTGAATGTATATATCTGGCTCTCAAGTGAATGTATATACCTGGCTCTCAAGTGAATGTATATATCTGGCTTACAAGTGAATGTATATACCTGGCTCTCAAGTGAATGTATATATCTGGCTTACAAGTGAATGTATATACCTGGCTCTCAAGTGAATGTATATATCTGGCTTACAAGTGAATGTATATATCTGGCTCTCAAGTGAATGTATATATCTGGCTCTCAGGTGAATGTATATATCTGGCTCTCAAATGAATGTATATATCTGGCTCTCAAGTGAATGTATATATCTGGCTCTCAAGTGAATGTATATATCTGGCTCTCAAGTGAATGTATATATCTGGCTCTCAAGTGAATGTATATATCTGGCTTACAAGTGAATGTATATATCTGGCTCTCAAGTGAATGTATATATCTGGCTCTCAAGTGAATGTATATATCTGGCTCTCAAGTGAATGTATATATCTGGCTCTCAAGTGAATGTATATATCTGGCTCTCAAGTGAATGTATATATCTGGCTCTCAAGTGAATGTATATATCTGGCTCTCAAGTGAATGTATATATCTGGCTCTCAGGTGAATGTATATATCTGGCTCTCAGGTGAATGTATATATCTGGCTCTCAAGTGTATGTATATATCTGGCTCTCAAGTGTATGTATATGCCTGGCTCTCAAGTGTATGTATATACCTGACTCCCCAGTGAATGTATATACTTGGCTCTCAAGTGAATGAATGTATATGGAACCCTCAAAAAATGTATATATCTGGCTCTGGGGTGGGAAATATACATACCTGGGTCTAGGGTATATGTATACACCTGGTCCTCGAGTTAGTGTATACTTAACCCATGGATAAAGGTGCATACCTGTGCATACTTGCCTCTTGGATATATGTATATGCCTGGCCTTCCATTACGTGCTAGAAAGGTTCTACTCAATGGAATAGGCCTATTGCCCCACGCTCAACAGGTTTTGCTCATTGGAATAGGCCTATTGGCCCATTCTAAACGGTCCTACTCACTGGAGTAGGCCTATTACCCATGATAAACAGGTCCTACTTACTGCATTAGGCCTATTGGCCCATGTTAGACAAATATTACACACTGGAATAGACCTACTGACCCATGTTAGAAAAATCCTATTCACAAGAGTATGCTAGAGAAGCCAGAAGATATCTAATGACTGTAGCTACAGAAAGCCGGAAGATACCTAATGAGTGTAGCTACAGAAAGCCAGAAGATACCTAATGAATGTAGCTACAGAAAGCCAGAAGATACCTGATGAATGTAGCTACAGAAAGCCAGAAGATACCTAATGAATGTAGCTACAGAAAGACAGAAGATACCTAATGAATATAGCTACAGAAAGCCAGAAGATACCTAATGAACGTAGCTACAGAAAGCCAGAAGATACCTGATGAATGTAGCTACAGAAAGACAGAAGATACCTAATGAATGTAGCTACAGAAAGCCAGAAGATACCTAATGAATGTAGCTACAGAAACCCAGAAGATACCTGATGAATGTAGCCACAGAAACCCAGAAGATACCTGATGAATGTAGCTACAGAAAGCCAGAAGATACCTAACGAATGTAGCTATACAGAAAGCCAGAAGATACCTGATGAATGTAGCTACAGAAAGCCAGAAGATACCTGATGAATGTAGCTACAGAAAGACAGAAGATACCTGATGAATGTAACCACAGAAACCCAGAAGATACCTAATGAGTGTAGCTACAGAAAGCCAGAAGATACCTGATGAATGTGGCTACAGAAAGCCAGAAGATACCTAATGAATGTAGCTACAGAAAGGCAGAAGATACCTAATGAATGTAGCTACAGAAAGCCAGAAGATACCTGATGAATGTAGCTACAGAAAGCCAGAAGATACCTAATGAGTGTAGCTACAGAAAGCCACAAGATACCTAATGAGTGTAGGTACAGAAAGCCAGAAGATACCTAATGAATGTAGCTACAGAAATCCAGAAGATACCTGATGAATGTAGGTAAAGAAAGCCAGAAGATACCTAATGAATGTAGCTACAGAAAGCCAGAAGATACCTAATATATGTAGCTACAGAAACCCAGAAGATACCTGATGAATGTTGCTACAGAAAGCCAGAAGATACCTGATGAATGTAGCTACAGAAACCCAGAAGATACCTGATGAATGTGGCTACAGAAAGCCAGAAGATACCTAATATATGAAGCTACAGAAACCCAGAAGATACCTGATGAATGTAGCTACAGAAAGCCAGAAGATACCTGATGAATGTGGCTACAGAAAGCCAGAAGATACCTAATATATGGAGCTACAGAAACCCAGAAGATACCTGATGAATGTAGCTACAGAAAGCCAGAAGATACCTGATGAATGTAGCTACAGAAACCCAGAAGATACCTGATGAATGTGGCTACAGAAAGCCAGAAGATACCTAATATATGAAGCTACAGAAACCCAGAAGATACCTGATGAATGTAGCTACAGAAAGGCAGAAGATACCTGATGAATGTGGCTACAGAAAGCCAGAAGATACCTAATATATGAAGCTACAGAAACCCAGAAGATACCTGATGAATGTAGCTACAGAAACCCAGAAGATACTTAATGAGTGTAGCTACAGAAAGCAAGAAGATACCTAATTAATGTAGCTACAGAAAGCCAGAAGATACTTAATGAATGTAGCTACAGGAAGCCAGAAGATACCTAATGAATGTAGCTACAGGAAGCCAGAAGATACCTAATTAATGTAGCTACAGGAAGGGAGAAGATACCTAATTAATGTAGCTACAGGAAGGGAGAAGATACATAATTAATGTAGCTACAGGAAGGGAGAAGATACCTAATTAATGTAGCTACAGGAAGCCAGAAGATACCTAATGAATGTAGCTACAGGAAGCCAGAAGATACCTAATGAATGTAGCTACAGGAAGCCAGAAGATACCTAATTAATGTAGCTACAGGAAGCCAGAAGATACCTAAGGACTGTAGCTACAGGAAGCCAGAAGATACCTAATTAATGTAGCTACAGGAAGCCAGAAGATACCTAATTAATGTAGCTACAGGAAGCCAGAAGATACCTAATGACTGTAGCTACAGGAAGGGAGAAGATACCTAATGAATGTAGCTACAGGAAGCCAGAAGATACCTAATTAATGTAGCTACAGGAAGCCAGAAGATACCTAATTAATGTAGGTACAGGAAGGAAGAAGAAATATTTCTTGTCTAGCTAACATAAATGTAACTGTTACTGTGATCTGATATTCTCTTTATTGTTATTGTAAATAAATCAGTTTACCTTATTCCTTGTATATCTCGTTTATTATAACCGCTATTATTATAACTGCTATTATTATAACTGCTATTGTTGTAACTTCTATTATTATAACTGCTATTATTGTAATTGCTATTATTGTAACTGTTATTATTGTAACTGCTATTATTGTAACTGCTATTATTATAACTGCTATTATTGTAACTGCTATTGTTGTAACTGCTATTATTATAACTGCTATTATTCTAACTGCTATTATTATAACTGCTATTATTATAACTGCTATTATTATAACTGCTATTATTATAACTGCTATTGCTGTAACTGCTATTGTTGTAACTGCTATTGTTGTAACTGCTATTGTTGTAACTGCTATATTTCTGTAACTGCTAATTATTATAACTGCTATTTATACTGCTATGTTAACTGCTATTTTGTAACTGCTATTTTTAACTGCTATTGTTGTAACTTCTAATATTATAACTGCTATTATTGTAACTGCTATTATTGTAACTGCTATTGTTGTAACTGCTATTGTTGTAACTGCTATTATTATAACTGCTATTATTGTAACTGCTATTGTTGTAACTGCTATTGTT